GACTATTTAAAACTAAGGTTACTTAGATGGTCAAGGTACAATTTTCAAATGTCCATTAGGAAAAGCAAATACCAGTTAACTTTCTTATCCTTATCATAGCCAGTGATGGCGAACCTATGACACGTGTGTCAGAGGTGACACGCGAACTCATTTTTTTGGTTGAATTTTCTTTGTTAAATGGCATTTAAATATATAAAATAAATATCAAAAATATAAGTCTTTGTTTTACTATGGTTGCAAATATCAAAAAATTTCTATATGTGACATGGCACCAGAGTTAAGTTAGGGTTTTTCAAAATGCTGACACGCCGAGCTCAAAAGGTTCGCCAACACTGTCATAGACTATAGCTTTACAGTGATAATAATATTAACATAATAATTACAATCTACTAGGTACCTACAAAGTGACAGCTAGGTACTTCCTATATCAATTTATATCTTCTCAACAACCCTACAAACTATATATTGGGGTGAAACATCTAGCATTAGGTCAAAATCACTTAGAAAAGAGATCCAGAGTAGATCTTAAATGTATTAGTCATAATTAGAGAATAACTAGGCTTAAGAGAAGATACCAAAGGCAAACCTGATGGCTAATGGAACAAAAGAAAACACACACCAAAAACAAAGACTTCAGCATGTGCGCCACCTAGTGGGAGACAGAGAGCAAGAGACTTCCCACCCTTCTTCCCATTGCATTGTGGGTATTGGCTCAATGAATGTCTTTCAATCCAAACCTGACAGTTCTAGGACAGTACCAAAGCCTTCATCACTTTTTCATAATTTTTTAAATACTTTTCTAAGGTATTATTGAAGTTGAAATGGTGCAGAATGAAAAAGTGTAGAATTTGTTAAGTTTTGACGTCATTGCCACAGTAAGTTCAATGAGTATAACAACCATGTTCAACCACACCCCCCACACGCAAATCCTTCCCCTCTGCCTCCTCCACATTCCTAATCCATCAATATCTGTTCTGTCATTATTGATTAGTTTGGATTTTTAGAATTTTATGTAAATGGAATCATACAGTAAGTATTCTCTTTTACTAGTTTATTTCCCTCAGTATAATTATTTTGAGATCGTAAGCATAATGTCCTTGTCCATAATTCACCCCTTTTATCACTTAGTATTCCATTGTGTGGATATACCAGTTTGTTTATCCATTCATTTGGTGATGGATGTATAAGTTACCCAATGTTTCAAAACAGATTATCACAAAACAGTGGCTTAAAGCAAGTATCCATTATCCCACAGTTTTGTGGGCCAGACACCTGAGAGTGGTTTAGCAGGGTAGTTTTGGCACAGTGTCTCTCATAAATTGTTGTCAAGATGGTACAGTTATCTGAAGCCTTTACTAAGCCTGGAGGATATACTTCCAAACTAGCTCATATTTTATTTTTATTTTTTGGTCTACTATCCTAAGTATTGTGCCTTGCACTACTATGCATTCATATTCATGTACTATAAATATGTGTGTGTTTGTTGCTAGAATAGGTTGAGCTCTAATTATAGACATCCTTATATTTCAGGCTAAGCAATTTGGACATTTGCCCCTTTCCTTCTTCCTTCCCCCACATCAAGCTATTGAGAATCAGTGCAGGTGTTGGATTGGAGAATGGTATGATGACGTCTGTTATAGGAGTATGGTTTCAATGACAGGAGGTGGCTCAGTTTTTAGTGACTAAGTACTCTCAAAATGGGCAGTGCTGGTCAGAGAGGCTCGGAGTTTTATTTTCTTGGTATAATCATTTAAGCAAAAGCTTTATGGGAAAGGGTTAGAATCATAGATTTTCATGAGGAATCTGACCAAACTCTTTTATTCTTTTTTGAATGTGTTTTTATTGATTTCAGAGAAAGAGGAAAGGAAGGGGAAAGAGAGAGGACAAAAACACATTGATGTGAGACAAAAACATTGATTGCATGCACCCCGACTTGGGATCCCAGGGATCAAGCACAAAACCTGGGCATGCGTTCTGACCAGGAATTGAACCAGGGACATTTTGATGCATGGAATGACTCTGAACCAACTAAGCCACACTGGCCTTGGTTCTTTTTTTATTCTTGAATCATAAAGACATGCTGAGAGTGTAGGCTTCATTACATATGGTAATGATTGCTATGTGGTACCGACAGGTTATTTTTTTCTTCTCTGAGCCTTGGTTTATCCATGTCCAAAATAAACAATATTAACTAGCTAATTTCTGCACTCCTTTTGAGTTTTAGCATTATTTTAGGAGAAGTAGGTAAAATTATGCATTGCAGAGAAATCACCAAAATACAAGAGCCCCAAATATTTGATTCCCATGTGTGACCCCTTCCCAAAACAGAATGATGGAGCCACTGTTTTATGGCTCAATGGTGATGTTTAATCTGGATAGATAGAACTACATAAGGTGTGGCTGTGCAGGAGCACTAAATGCCTTAGGCTGGAGAGGCTGGAAAAGGGGAGAAGTAGGTTAAACCTGTCATCATACATTTGCTCCTAACTCAAGTGGAAACAAAGTGACACTGAATGTGTAAGAGGCAGGACATAATCTGATGGCAATTAAACAATGCTGATCTTTTAAAATTATGACCTTTTAAAATGTCTTCTCACACTGTTTATTTTGTATATTTTCAAAAATTTCAATTTTATTAAGTGTTTTTTTCTCAAGTGTGTGAAGTATGCACTATTATAAAACTTGTAAGTATTGTACTGAAGGTCAGGGTTCTCCAGGGAAACAGTACCAATAGAATATATATAAATAAATATATATTAATAAAGAAAGTATATATCCTATATAATAAAAGCCTACTATGCTAAGCGTCCAACCATTCGTTTGACTGTTTGACCCATCGCTAAGAGGCACACTGACTACCAGGGGGCAGACACTCCAACCAGTCAGTTAGCTTGCTTCTGGGGTCCGGCTGATGCAGGCTGGACATGCCCTGGAGTCTTCCCGTGGTCCTGCACTGGTGTGAGGAACCCCACTGGTGCATACATGAATCCGTGCACCGGGCCTCTAGTGTCTATCTATCTACATAGATATAAGTGTATATCTATGTAGATAGATATAGATATATATAGATAGAGAGGGGCCTCTAGTATGTGTGTGTGTGTGTGTGTGTGTGTGTGTATATATATATATAGAGAGAGAGAGAGAGAGAGAGAGAGAAAGAGAGAGAGAGACAGAGACTTATCAGATGGAATTGGCTCATGGGATCATCAAGTCTGATAAGTCCAAATCCACAGAGCCAATGTCTCAGTTCAAGTCCCAAAACAGGTTGGTACCTGCTTTGGTACAAGAAAGAGCTGATGTTTCCATTTGAAGTATGACTGGATAATTCTCTCTTACTCAGGGAAAAGGTGAGCCTTTTTTTTCCTTCAGGCCTTCAACTGATTAGATATGGCCCACCTACATTATGGAGGGCAATGTGCTTTACTCTGTCTATCAATTTAAATGTGAATCTCATCCAGAAATATCCTTGCAGAATCACTCAGAATTGTTTCACCAAATATCTGGGCCCTCTGTGACCCAGTAAAATTGACTCATAAAATTAACCATCACAAATGTATTGACTACAGTTTTTTGCTGTTGTTTTGTTTTAAACTACATAGGACTCCACCACCCTCCCCTCCACTCCCCATTCACAAGATGATGTTTAAGGCCAATTCAGGGATATGTTCTGTAAGCATTGGAAAATGAGAGCCCCTACACTGAAGAAAGGAACATCTTTCCCCAAATTACCTATCTCTGATCACCAAGTGTAGGAGACTCTTAAATATAGACCTTTGTTTATCACTTCAGATCTTGGCTGATCGAAGTATTAAAAACACCTCTTCTAAATGTAATTCCTTTATTCCTAGAGCTATACATCATCATCATTCTATCCCTCTCTCTCTCTCTCTTCCTTCTAATATTTATTAAGTATTATTCTATGTAATATAAGAAAAGTATAAGATGACCATAAGATGTTCTCTATTTTTACTCTGTAGGCCAATTATATGTTCTATAAAGTTACATTATGATGTTAGTGAGTCCCCCTGTATTTTTTTATTTTACATAAAACCCCAGAATTTTGAATTGTTGTGAACCTGCCACTATATGCTTTCATAGCTCTTAATAACGTAGTCTAGTAGAGAATTTCTAAACTACTCTAAGAGGCCAGTTTGTAGTGTTATGTTACTGTGTGTTTGGACCCAATCAGTGGTATTCATTGAAGTGTAATTTTAGCAAAGAATCCTTGCATTTAAATAAAGGGGTTAAAATAACATACGTGCCAACTTTGCACTTTTGGGGGGTTTTGTTGGTCATTATAAAGCTTAGTGCTCTTATATGGTGCATTTTCCTTTATGGTGTCCTTTTGGTGAGTTTTTGTGGTCATTGTTCTCTCCCCACTCACCTGCAAGCTCATCATCATCATTGAACATGCAAGGTACATAGAGTGTGAACCTGTGTGATCTTTTAAAATTAATAGGTGGATTCTCCTTTGTTACAAGAGTGCTCACTTGGGCCTCAGGAAGATCAACGGGGCACTCAGGGAAGAAAGTCTAATTAAGTGTTGAAGCCCAAGAGTCATTTATAGAACATTGTCAGTTATGTGACGTGAGAGGATGGAAGAAATAAAAGAGCTCTTTCTGTGCAATTTAAAAATACCTTTTTACAACAAGAAATGAGCAAAAAGGAAGACGAAAAATAAGAGTTATACTCGTTAATTACTTCCATTCCGCATCTGGATTATTATACCTGAGGATGCATGATGAATCTGTTTCCTAGTTTATTATTCTCATTTATTCGTTTTCCAGTAAACAGCCCATCATACATGAGGCACTGTGGGTAACTCAGAGATGTAGAAAGGAGATTGCTAAGACTGGTCTGCTACACTGAATAGAAAGAAAACAGTGCTGGGGCCCCTGGGGCCAAGGAGAGTTCCTGGGCGCGGAGATTGGCTTCCGGGTGGAAGAGCTCAGGGCAGACCTCTGGGAGGCGTGGCCACCGGCAGATGCGCAGACACTGACCACCCAGGTAGCTACTGGGGCTGCGGTGGAGGAGGGTGGTGACCTGGCCTGGGGAGGAAGAAGAAGCCGGTGGCGTTGCTTTAGTGGTGAGCAAATTCAGGGACCTGACTACCCCGGGGGAGCAGCTTCGGAACACGGGGCAGATTCAGAGGCAGAATATGAACGCGACGCATTTCTTTTAACAAGGCCTCGCGAATCCTATTACGTAGTCTGTCCTTTAGTAAGAGAGATACGGAGAGCTTTGCCTTTCTTGGCTGCCGGGCGGGCGCGCCTGTTGCTGCAGCTCTGCTGGCGTGCAGGGCCGCTGGCTCCGGCCGGAATTCCCGGGCCCCGGTCCCCGGGCCGCGATCCGGGCTGCATCCCGGGCTGCATGAGTCAGTCTTGCGCCGAACCTCGGCAGAATGGAGGAAGGTGCTATTTTGGGATAACAAGCATATGATCAGCTCTTTTGGGGGGCAGATTTCCCAGGCCGCTATGTTTGCAGAAAGAGTGACTTTCCAGAATGCCCGTCTTTCTGTTAGAACACAGAAAACCATTTCGTGAAGTCATCGGGGCCTCTGTGGCAGAAAGGGGTTCACATTGGACATCCACAGCCCATTCATTGTGCTGCCGACAGGAATAGCCTCAGAGCAGTTTAAAGGAAGATGTTTATGTGTGGTTAATAAGCTACCCCCCCCCCTTTTTTTTTCCCCAATGGCGGAAAGGAAAGCGGAGAGTCATTTGGACCCCGTGGAGAAGCTGGAATCCTGAAACCCTAAAGGAACTTGTGTCTGCTCCCGCCCCTTTCCACGCCCCCTCATTTGCTTTCCGGGCCTTCCTCGGGTGCAGCCAAAAAGCCAGCTTCCAACCTAGAAGAGTTACTAAGAGGGCGTGTGCTGGCATTCCAACCAGGTTTTTTATTTTTCTTACACATATCATTACCATCACTAACAGTAAACATATATTCTTTTGCTAATAAGCCAAAACTAATATAATAGTTTATGAAAGGATAAAGGGAATGTATGTGTGTGTGTGTGTGTGTGTGTGTGTCTTGATTTCAAGGCCTTCGAAGTTTGGGGACCTGCACCCTACTCAATATAGACAATATGACTACTGTGAATGCAGTGGGTTTTAATCTTATTTCCAGATGGTGAACGCTATGGTGTGTTTCTGTTTCACAAGCTTAGTCAGGCATACTTGGGAATATACTTTGAAGTCAGTCTGAAATCCCCACCTTCAGGGAAATTTAAAACCTCTCTATTTCAGAGAGTCTGCTCCATCCTTCACTGTCATTTCTCTCTCTCTCCTTGGCCATTTCATCAGTCATATGATTGGGACTATCACCCTTGCATGTTTTCCCCCAACTACGTGTCTATAGATAAAGCTTGTTTCGATACGTGTAAGATGCATGTGCTGAAGTGTCTGCTGGAGCTCCCTCCTTGGATTTGCACAGGCCACTCAAATGCTCTAAGTTCAGATTTGAACCACCTATGTTCCTCTCCCCATTGAAAATGAAAGCAAATGCAGTCAAGCTGATGGCTTGTCTGACATCCTGTCTTGGTAAATGGCACTTCCAATCCTCCTTGCCCAAGCTAGGACCCTGTTCATCATAATCTGTTCCTCCTTCCTTTGTCAGCATCCTTTATATCCACTTACTTATTAAGCCCATGTGCTCCAATTCTTAGTTACTTTTAGATCTGCTGCCTCCTCATAACCCTCAGTCTAGGCACTGCTCAGGGTAGGGCCTTATCATGTCCCTTCTGCAAACTTTCATAGTTCTGGCCTCACAGCCTTGGTCTTATCCCTCCCCAGTCATTGTTTTCACACACATCTTTCTAAAATCCAAATATAATTTCCCATTCTCGCTATTACAACCTTCCAATAATTCCCTTTTCCCTATGGGATAAATTCAAGCTCATGTGTATGGCATACACATTTCTCAATCAAGAAAACTTTCAGATCTGGAGTCAGATCTGGGTTCAAATCTTGGTTTTGCCACTTACCAGCTGTGTGACCTTGAATGACTTCTCTGTGTCTCACTTTCTCCACCTGTGAAATGAGCATAATAATGGTAGCTAGCCTGTGTTAAGCCTTACTTTTGTTCCCCAATACCTGCTTCTCCTCTAATTCCAGACATTACATTTCCCTCTCCCTTCAAGTTACCTGCGCCCAAATGACCTGCTTAACAAAAGAAAGGTAAGCAGATGTGGGAGGTGTCACTTCTGTGTGGAGGCATTCAGTTACTGGTACAGGACTCTCCAGCCCCCTTTTTCTTTTGATGAATTGTGAAAACATGTGTTGATATGTAGGTGCCATAAGAATGGAGTAGAACAGATGCTGAGCTAACACTTAGAAGACTACCCTGGAGAATGACCTAATCCCAACAGATGGTGTGGGTGAGAAACAAGCATTCATGGTATGAAGCAAGTGAGATGTGGGAGCTGCGTGTCACCTCAGTACAGCTTAGCCTACACTGCCAGTCTCCTCACTGTTGTGAGAATATATAATGCACTAAGACAGTGGTCGGCAAACTCATTAGTCAACAGAGCCAAATATCAACAGTACAACGATTGAAATTTCTTTTGAGAGCCAAATTTTTTAAATTTAAACTATATAGGTAGGTACATTGCTATTAACTTAATTAGGGTACTCCTAAGGCTTAGGAAGAGCCATACTCAAGAGGCCAAAGAGCCGCATGTGGCTCGTGAGCCACAGTTTGCCCACCATGACACTAAGGCATTTGGCATGGTGCCTGGCTCAAAGCCAGCGTTCAGGTCACGGTAGTGGTGAATGGTTATCTTTCCAGATGATACTCTTTTATTTTTTTCCTTTGGCATAGTTTATTCCATAGGCACCTATCCCTTGCTGTTTCACATGTTGGCATCTTCAGACATCTCGATTGCTCCGCATGTACTGTTTCCAAGGATCTTGCTCAGATGATGAAATCTATTCACCCCTTAAGAAGCAGCTGATGTGTGTCCCCTACGGGGTGCTTTCCTCTCACACTTGTGTCCACACACACACATCCAGGGTTGACCCCCTGGTTGCTGTGTTTATGTATGTAGAGGACCTGTCATTAGCATGTTTACCCTGGACTTTAGGACGCTTACATGTCTGTCTCTCCTGCCAGGTTGTGGGAGATCCTAAGAGGAGGATTCTGCCTTGCTCATCTCTACAGTTCAGAACCTCAAATACGGTCTGCCTCAAAGTAGATGTTGTGAAAATAAACAAATGTACAACTAAAGAGGGCGATAAGACAGTTCCACCATAATATGACAAGTGACTGGAGCCTTCTCTGTTCTCCATTTCCTCTCAGACTCATCATGCCTTTGACTTTGTGACCATTGGCTGGTCTAGCTTTCTTATATGACAGATGAGGAGACTGACCCAAGCAGAGAGTACAAAGTCGCACAGCCAGATGGTGTCAGACTCTGGAAGAGAAATGAGATGTTAGGGCCCTGTGGCAACTAAACCTGTGGGAGGATGGGGTGTCCATAATAGGTAGGTCTGTGAGGGCCCCATGGGCAGGTGCAAGTACTGAAGTAATGAGAGCATTGCAGTGGAGTGAATGGTGGACCCCAAAAAGATATGTCCCAATCCCAACCCCTGGTACCTGAGAATGGCTTTGTTTGGACAAAAGGTCTTTGCAGGTGTAATTCTCAAAATGAGGTTATTCTAGATTATCCAGGTAGGCCTTTAATCCGCTGACAGTGTCTTTATAAGAAACACCGAGAGAAAGGTCAAGTGAATGTGGATGCAAGGATTGGAGGCCCAGAACCAGCAGAAGCTGAAGAGACAAGGGAAGGCTCTCCCTAGAGCCCTTGCAGGCACCTTGATCTGGGACTTGTCCTCTACAACTGTCGTTTTAAGCCACCCAGTTAGCGGTAGTTTGTTATAGCAGCCCTAGGAAATGAATACAAGTATCATTTGGAAGATAAATGCGTTTTTTTCCCTTGGGCATACTTTTTTCAGGTTTTGCTTTTTATAATTGTCTTGGTGAAATATTTTAGTCATTGTTTTTATAAAATAATAAAAGCCCCTTTTCTCTTTTTCTCTTTCTCTCTTTCTTCTTTTCTTTCTTCCTTCCTTCTTTCCTTCCTCCCTCCCTTCCTTCATCCCTTCCTTCCTTCCTTCCTTCTTCCCTCCCTTCCTTCCTTCCTTCCTTCTTTTCTTCCTTCCTTCCTTCCTTCCTTCCTTCCTTCCTTCCTTCCTTTCTTCTTTTTACCTTTTCTTCTTCTAAAGTTTCACCAGTTCTATCAATTATCTTAGATTTTGTCCCTTCTGAAGTTGAAAGTACAGTATCCCCATTCATGTTATCTTTCCCATGGAGCACTTCTTACTAGAAACAGTGACTAAGTTTTGAGCTTTGCCTTATCTTTGAGCCTCTGAGGCACTTCATGTACCTGTAGTAAAACTGCTTGGTTTTCTCTGCAAAAGTCATGATCCTCATGGACTTCATATAGGGACAATGAGAATATGATAAGAGGTAGTATTTGTAGGAGGTTTGTAAACTGTGAAGTGCTATGTGGAGATGACAATTATATAGCTGGTATAAATGAGTGTGTACAGTATATATACAAAATATTGGAATCTGCCCTAACTGGTTTGGCTCAGTGGCTAGAGTGTCGGCCTGCGGACTCAAAGGTCCCAGGTTCGATTCCAGTCAAGGGCATATACCTTGGTTGCAGGCACATCCCCAGTAGGGGGTGTGCAGAAGGCAGCTGATCGATGTTTCTCTCCCATCGATGTTTCTAACTCTCTATCCTTCTCCCTTCCTCTCTGTAAAAAATCAATAAAATATATTTAAAAAACACACAAAAAACAACAACAAAATATTGAATCTGAGAATATTTCATAAAGGTGCCCTCAAGACGGCTGCTCAAACTGATTTTATGCTATACTTTGCTGCCACCTTGTGACATTCCTGGTAATTGTTGGAGATGATTTTTCTAATAAACTTTCAGAGATTTTGTTTTTAATAAAGTGATTTTTTCTTTCAGAAAGAAGATGCGGAATATGTCTCTGAAATTGCTCAGTATCATTCTATGTTCCTATTTGACAGAAGCTAAAAGACTTGCTTTGGAAATATTATTTGAAAAATTATGGCTGTCTGGCCGGCGTGGGTCAGTGGTTGAGCTTTGACCTAAGAACCAGGTCATGGTTCAATTCCCAGTCAGGGCACATGCCTGGGTTGTGGGCTTGAGTAGGGGGCATGCAAGAGGCAGCCAAACAATGTTTCTCTCTCATCATTGATATTTCTATCTCGTTCTCCCTGAAATAAATAACAATGTATTTAAAAAATAATGAAAAATTATGACTGATAAATCTAGAGATTAAAAGACTTGGGATGGTCAGGAAGACAATGGACAGTGTTGAGGACTTTAGAGAGATGGAAGCACTTGCCCTATCCAGGGGGCACCCACCACATACTGTTGTTAGAATTTCAACATTTCTTGCATATAAAGTGATTGCTCCAATATTCTGGACTCTCAATGGCAGGTGGTCACTAGGTCTTATTAGCTCCTTTTTCCCCAGTATCACCTTCATTTATTTAATAATCTCCAACTTCATGATTATTGTGTATTTCTGGTCCTTGTTACTATTTCAATACCTGGTCTCCCTGTCTCCATAATCTCTCATCTTCTATTCATCTTGCACACAGTGCTAGACATTTTTCATGAAGCCCTGAAAAAACAGCACAGAATAGTGACTAAGAGTAAGATCTGGAGCCAGGCTGCTGGGATTTGAATCTAACCTCCATCAGTTTGGTTCTAGTTGTATAATCTGGGGAAAGTTCCTTAAGCATTCTGAATATCAGTTTCCTTATCTGTATAATGATGATAGTATTAACGCCTACTTCATATGTTTGGGGAAAAGATTAGAGGAGCTATTCCATTTAGTGTTCAATTAATATTTGCTGGTATTCCTCCCTACTAGCATGTGAATTCCTTAAATACACAAATCCTCTCCTGGATTTGTCTTTGCACCTTCAAATTGACATGTCACTTTTACATTGTAGTCATTTGGTGGCATTCTTGGTTGTATAGTAGGTGAAGGATCACTAAACATTTGATGGTTGCATCCAGTTCACTTCTTGAAATTCTCATATCATCAAAATACACCTAAGGCCATACAGTGACCCCCTCCCCCCAAATTATACAGAATTTTTTCAAACTTGCTATATCTAAATTTAATAAACAGTGATTAACATTTACTTTTAGTATTTACTATGTGATAAGCTCTGTTCAAAGTACTTTTACAGTAGGTAAGACAATAATTCCATTCCAATCATATATTGTCTGACCTATCAAAAACCACCTGCTACTCCAACTGCTGGCTTGTGTTGGAAAGTCTTCCCCAGAATACTTGAAGTGGACCTAGAAAATGCATTTCAGGAAGGACTAGAGCAGCCTGAGCTTCAGGATGTTGTAAGACTATATACATGGTCTAGTTTTTAGACTTGGTTCCATTGTCCTTATTTCTATGGTTATACCCATTCATCTACCCTATAAATAATTATAAAGCATCCTCTAAATTCCAATGACATTAAGGTTACATAGAGATTGTGTCTTTCCCAAGAGTTCCTTAAGGGGAAATCTCATCTATCTGACACATAATCTCATATATTCATTCATTCAAAGTTTCTTCAAAACTTTGTGATCATCTACTATACAAAAATGGTGAAAATGGTGTCAGGTGTCATCAAGAATATTAAATATGTTAAATATATTTTAAAAGTAGATATAAATATAACCTAGGGATTATTTTACCTTTTGAGATGAAAATTAAAATGGATGAAATTTTTATTCCTCATTCCTCGTCTTTCTGGTGATTTTTCTAGGGAAGCTGTATTTCTCCTAGATACCTCAAACTCAGAACGTGGCCAAATACTGTTGAAGATTTTGGAAGATGGGAAAGCTTTATATTCACAAATTACTTTTGCCAACCCACCACATGGAATTTCTCACTGACCCCATTTCTCTTTGGTATTTAGTTGAACATTACACGGTATCAGTTCTGCTATGGTCTGAATGTTTGTGTCATAAATTCATATGTTTAGAACCCAATGCCTAAGGTTAATAGGAGGTAATCAGTTAATAATAGCACAACCCTCATAAATAGTATTAACATCCTTACAAAGGAGAGCCCAAAGAGGTCCCTAGACGCTTCTGTGAGGACACAGAGAGTAGTGCCAACTATGAACCAGGAAATGGCCTTCATCAGAACTCAACCAGGCTGGACCCCTAATCTTGGACTTCCCAGCCTCCACAAGTCTGAGAAATAAATTTCTGGTTCTTATAAACTACCCAGTCTGTGGTATTTTGCTACAGTAGCTGAACTAAGACACAACTCCATTCTTTCTTTTCACATCTCCTCTCATCTCCTTCAGAACTACATTCTTAATTACCTTTGGAACTATAATCCTAACTAAAAAGAGTTGTTGTCTTAAGAAAACTCTCCTTCCTATTAAACTAGCTAATATTTCTTTTTGTGATATACAGAAAACTTGAACTTTAAAAAAATGTAGGCACACTAAGTGGTAATCATTATTAATAAAAAATGTGTATGTCTTATTATACACGTTTCTTAAACTTGAGATGTATTACCTCTTTTAATACTTACAATATTCTATAATATAGGTATTTTTATCATCCCTATTTTCTCAGATAAGGAAACTGGGGCATAGAGAAGTTAGCATTCCAATCCAGGCAGCTTGGCTCCAAAGTCCAAGCTTTAACTACTAAGGTGTACTACAGATCACTATATCTATTGACAAACTACCTACCACTGCATTCATCTATTGATAATATCAGTTAAATGTTGAACAATTATGTAGTTTCTCTGTTTGTTTCAAGACACTAATGATATACACCTGCTAATAAAGCATCACCCATGCCCTTTATTTGGATTTAATTGTGTTCACACACTTAAATTAGCCAACTTCTATCAGATGTCATCATCTGTGTGCTTTCACTTATATGTGGAATCTAAAACAAAAACAGACTCATAGAAACAGAGACGAAAGTGATGGTTACCAGAAGGGAGGGGGTGGGGGATGGGTGAAAAGAGGAAGGGCAATACAGTCAACAATATAAGTCTACACAGTGACAGATGATTACCAGAATTAGTGGGGTGATCACATTGTAAGGTATTAAAATGTTGAACCATCATATTGTACACCTGAATCTAATATAACCAATAAAAGATTGTATACAAATTATACTTAAATTTAAAAAAAAACTGTTAAAAAAAGATGCCATCCTCAAACATTGCCATTTTTCTTCTTTGGGTTTAGCTTCATTTTTACTCTTTAGGAAGCAATAATAAATTAAATTAACCTGGTTCTCCTCAGTCTCCAGTGTCAGACCATTGGCAACAGCTGGAACTAAGCTAGGAGGAAGATGGTATTGGCATGCAAAGTCATCATTGTATGAGCAACTGCTGAACATGTGAGTTGTTTATGTCAAAGAAGTAAGCTTTATCACAGTTGCTTTGCCATGATTTGAAGCAGAAGTTCTAGAATTTTATCCATCATGTTTTCATTTAATACTAGAGGCCCAGCACATGAAATCATGCAAGGGTAGGGTCCCTAGGCCTAGCCTGTGATCAGGGCCATCTTCCGCCTGCTCGCCAGTCCCCAGTCCTGCCCCACTATGTCCACCCACCCTGGTTCCTGTTGGCCGGGTAATTGATCTGAGCCTGCGGGCCAGGGGGAGGGACCAAGAGGTCGGCATTCTTCCCACTCACCAGTCCCCAGTCCCGTCCTGCTGCCTCCACTCACCCTGGCTCCCCTTTGGCCATCCAGTGATTGGAACCTACAGGTTGCGGGGAGGGACCAAAAGGTGGTCAGTGCACCTCATAGCAACTGGTCAATAGGTCATTCCCGTCGTTACACCATTATGATTGCTGGCCTTTTATTATATAGGATGGTATATATACTCCATTCTCAGCGGTTAGGGCTCCTGACCTAGCTAACTCTAAAGCTCACAGTCACATGTACTCTAGGGAAAGGAAACTAAAATCAGTGGAGCTATAAATGTTGCTTTTTTCTTAAAAGAAAGAAACAAAAAGAGGTTTGTGTTCTTTAACATATTTGAAATAGTTTAATGTGCATTTTTTCATTTTATTAAATCCATTGGAAAGCCTTCGCTGACAACTGGTTTTCTTGAATTAACTCTGAACTTTCTTGGTATGTATTGGGAATTCTTCACTGTGAGCTCTAACCTACCTTTCTGACATGATGCTGTAGTTGTGTTTGACTATTTGTTCTTTCAAAATCAAGCCCTTTCCCTTTCTTTGTGGCCTAGCCAAGACATCATGCTATGCTCCATTTCCTTTTTTCTATTTGCAAATGTGATTTTACTCCCTTTTGTTTCTCATAGGTGGCACTTCACATATTCTACCGAGAATGGACATTATTCTATTATTAATATAAGAAAAATTGTCTACACCTGTCTCCTTTTTGAGCTGAGCTCCTTTGCTATTTAGCATACTGCCAGGAATTTGGACATCACTGCTTCTTCCTCTCTTTCAGTCTTTGTAACTGATTAGTTACAAAGTTCTACCAATTGCACATCCTCAGTACCTCAACCTGTTCCCTTATCTCTATCTCCACTGCATTTGTCCTAGTTTCCTTCTGACAATTTAATGTCAGAATAACTCAGTCTCCTCCATCTTAATACTGGTAGCAGAGTCACCCTTTAGAAATACATACTTGATTACAGCAAACCTTGAATGAAAATCTTTAAAGGGCTTTGATATAATAAAAGTCTAGGTTTCCTAGCCTGGCAACTGTTAGTGTCATTGGCTTGCATGGTATGGTGTAAGGAAGCGTAACCTAAAACATCCACTTTAATGTCAAATAAGAAAAACAGTGGTAGTTTATAGTAAGAACATACCATAAAGATCTAAGAAAGGCCTTTTTTCATGAAAACAAACCAAAGTGAACTTTTTTTTTCAAGTTTCAAGAGTGGTAGTTGTATTTTAATGAGTTATTGCCATAGGGACATATTGTACATCAGGTATGGGAATTAGTTTTCCTTTTCAATATTTAGGTTAATAGTGCCAGTTTTTTAATTCATTTTAAATTTTCTTTTGTTAATCCTCACCCGAGGAT